AAATCAAAGACTGTAAAAATATTTTGTTCTTAATTAAATGAATTGATGACTCACCACAACAAAAATATGCTTGTAAATGTTTGTAAAGACATATATTTAGCAAGGGGAGAAACAGTCTTATATGAATTCAGAAGCTAATTATGTTCTTGAAAATAAGTATGTTTAGTCTTTGTGCCCACAGTGGTTAAGACCAGGGCCCGCCAGAAAAGGATGCATTCAATCACTGAAATGGATCCGAATTTTTTATTTTCTCTTCTCCCCCTACCTCCAGTGCCTTTATAAGTAACAGTCATGTATCACAGCATAATCTAATTCTAAAAGACACAAATAGTTTTCTTTTTTCCATCTGCCCAAGGGATAAAAGAAAGACATGAAGCTTAGATTCTTCTTCACAGTGCAGAATATTAAAGTTGTTGGAAAAAAGAGGTCTGAAAGCCATCTCCAGCTGAGACAGGCATGATAATTTATTATCTCATTAAGTGGTATAAGAAACAAACAGAGCCAGCAATGAGTGTGCGGTAATTACTTGGTGCTGACATGTGGACCCTCACTGTGACTAATCACTTCCTAAATGTACCAGCACACTTGTTAACAAGTGCCAATAAGTGTTCAACCAATCTCATGCTTAAAATGGGGTGAAACAAAGTAATCAAAGAGAGGGGTATGACAAGAATCCACATCTTTAAGTAAAAAATAGAGAGTGACTAACCCCTGAAAGGGAGCTCTGGTAGCGCAGTGCCTAAGGCACCTGACTGCTAACCAGAAGGCTGGAGGTTCAAACCCACCAGCCACTCCTCGGAAGGAAGGTTGGGCAATCTACTTCCATAGTGATACTTCCTCAGAAACCCAAGGAGGAGTCACTATGAGTCAGGTCCGACTAGGCACATAACAACAACAACAAGACACAAGAGTTTAAGGTCTAACAATAATAACAATAAATAATATTTTTAAGGTGCTTACTAGACAGGCACTATTCATAACAGCTTCCCTGTATTAATTAATTTTTAATTCTCATAACAATCTTTTTTTTTTTTTTTTTTAAACAGATAAGCAAACTGCCCCAGAAAGGTTAAATAATTTACTAAGGTCAAATTTGTAAATAGCAGAGCTATGATTTAATCCCAGGAATTACTTTATACTGTCTCTTACAAAGAAGGTGATGGAAAAATAAAGATAGGTGCTACTTTTTTTTTTAAAAAAAAAAAAGCAATCATGATTCCTCAATCTGTATATATGTATAACGACTTGTAAGCCCTTTCCATATATGAAGAGTATGTAAGCTCCACTACTGACAAAAGAAAACTAGATTACAGTGACTGTGTTTAATGAAAATGGTTTTGCTTATTCTGATTATAAAAGTAAGTCATGATCTATCTGATAAGAGACTTATCTCTAGAATTTATAGAAAACTCCAACACCTCAATAACAAAAAGACAAATAATCCAATTTAAAAATGGGCAGAAGACATGAATAGACACTTCACAAAGGAGGATATTCAGACAGCCAACAAACATATGAAGAAATGCTCACGATCATTAGCCACTAGAGAGATGCAAATCAAAACAACAGTGAGATACTACCTTGCCCTAGCACTAGTACCAAAGTTCAACAAGACAGAAAATAACAAATGCTGGCGAGGATGCAGAGAGATTGGGACTCTCATATGCTGCTGGTGGGACTGTAAAATGGTACAACCACTGTGGGAAGCAGTATGGTGATTCCTTAAAAAGTGGGAATTAGAAATACCATTTGACCAAGCCATTCCATTACTAGATATATATCCTAGAGAAGTGAGAGCCAGGACAAGAACAGACATATGCACACCCATGTTCATCACAGCACTATTTACAACAGCAAAAAGATGGAACCAACTTAGGTGTCCATCAACTGAGAAACAGATAACCAAACTATGGTACATATACACACAATGGAATACTATGCAACCCTAAATAACCTAGAATCTGCAAAATACTGCATAATGTGGATGAACTTAGAGGACATTATGCTGAGTGAAATAAGTCAATCACAGAAGGACAACTGTTGTGTTAGTCTGTCATTGTAAAAGGCAAGGAAAGGTTTAGATATGGAAGGAAATTTTCTTTGTTGGTTACCAGGGGTGAGAGGGGAGGAGAGGAAACACTGTCAGATAGATAGAGGTAAGTATTGATTTGGGTGAAGAGAAGGGCAATGTACCAAGTATGAGTGATCAACATGGTGGCACTGAGGAAGAGAAAGACAGAGAGGTACATGGGAGGTGCAGACAACAAAGATGAACCCTTTTGCACATACAGTACTGCGTTGTCAGTGAAGGCAAACATGGGTATACGGGTGGATAGATGGGTGGACAGGCTGAACTATTAGGTATGTCTATGCAGCAGGGAGTGTACCCAAGACATGTATAGGGTTGGCAGACAATGGTTCTACAAGTGTCTTTATATGTTCTGTAAGAATTCCCAGGTGTAGAGTAGATCTGACAAGGGACAAGGTTGTAGTCACTTTTTGGTCATGGCCAGCTACTCAAAGGGAGCAAGTAGTTAAACCTGTGGGCTTGGGACCATAGTCGCAGGGGACATCAGGCTCAACTGGCATAACATACTACATAAAACATTGTTCCACCTCCTACTTTGGCCAGTAGTGACTGGGATCTTAAAAGCTTATAAGCAGCCATCTAGATGCAATGATGGGTCTCTCCTTGTCCAGAGCAAAGAAGAATGAAGAAAACCAAAGAAGCATGGCAACAATTAGTCCTAGTGACTGGTACACCACGCAATCTGCACAGCCTATATGACTATGAGCCCAGAAGAAGTGGATGGCGCCTGGCTACCATTGACAACCACTTAGAGGGGGATCTATGTAGGAAATCCTGGGTAGAGAGGGAGAACAATGTGGAACAAAACTCAAAATCATTTGGAAAAAAAAGGGGGGGGCAGAGACCAGGTTTGCTGGTCCTATAGAGCCTGGTAGAATCACTGAGACTATGGCCTCTAGGTGCCCTTCTGGTCTGGAACTGAACCCACACCCACAACTATGGCTTACAGCCAAGCAAAAGACAGGCATGTGAGTTGAACATTTACCTGAGGTAGATACACTCCTTGGAGAGAACAATCATGGGAGAAAGAAGAGCTGTTTATGCACAGGGTGACAGCTCAGGGGGCAGGAGTGTAAGAAGGATGGACACATGGAAGAGGTAACTATAGGGAGGAAGTGGGAGGGGAGCTGTTGCATCGTGGTAAATTGTGGTCAATGTCATGAGACAAAGTTATGTGAACTGCTGTACGGAAAGTGAATTTGCTCTATAAACTTTTACCCAAATCACAATAAAATTAAATTAAATTAAAAAAAAAAAAGTAATTCATGGTCATTGTACAAGATGGTGAGAGTACCAAAAAATACAGACAAAGTGAAAACCACTAATGAATTGACCATTGAGGGACAACTATTATTTTGTTTTGGGAAGATACACATATATTTTTCAAAAAATATTAATGTCTACAAGATAGATATAATGTATATAGAAAATGCAAAGTGCAAATTGGGAGCTTGCCAAAAATGCTGTTTTGTGACTTTTTCACTTAATGCTATGCATTGACATTTTTGCATGTCAATACAGATCCACAACATCATTTTTAATTATACAGAATTCCACTGTGAGCATAAATGTAATCAATTACCAACTGAATCAAGCATATTTATTAAGTTTTAATTATTTAATATTTTAAAATTTGCTATTAGGAATTCTTGAATATATGCATGCATATATACGTATGTATGTATCTACTTGTGTGTCTATCTACTTCCTTAGGATAAATTTCTAGGCAAAACATTTTTGGTCTATAAATATGTATACTTTTATTTTTGATACATACTGACAAACTGTCTTACAGAAACTGCATTCCTGCCAGTAATTAAGGAGCTCTGGTAGCACAGTGCCTAAGGCATTTGACTGCTAACCAGAAGCTGGAGGTTCAAACCCACCAGCTACTCCTTGGAAAGGAGCTCTGGTAGCATAGTGGCTAAGTCACTTG